ACAGCTACATGGAGCCTTTGGGTGTTTGGGAGCTGATGCAGTGACAGCCGTTTTTTGCAGGTTTCCTGCTTTTGGCATGCCGGATCTTTGAGACGCACCTTTGTTTTCCTGATGATTTTCGGAGCCGTCTGATTCCAATTGTTTGGAAAGTTCAGTTCGATCATGTTCTGATTGATCACTTTTGAAAAATTTGCGAATCATAGTGTCAGCATGCCCAAGGCAAACAAGACTGTTGATGAGCCTCTCGGACATTATGCAGAGGCTGCGTGATTTCTGCCACATTCACAATGTACACGTGCCGTTCATTGCCAGGGAGTCTAGGTACAATTACAGGTCGCCATTCGGTTCCTTCTCTGAGGATGGTCCCGGTATTCGTTTCCTGTCTGACTGACTGAGCTTAGGCAAGCTCCCGCACATGATCAGAGGGGTTTGGAGCGTCTGTCTTCAGAGTATGCGTGGCGCATTGAGGATAGAAGGAAGTGATCGATGTATGCCAAGAAGTGCTGTCGTTCAAACACCAGAGAGCAGCAGGACATGAAGAGGTGTCATGAAAGACCTCATCAGAATCAGAATAATTATCATTTTTACTGTTGTTGCTGCGCGCATGGTCCGGTCAGGGCTTGGCTTGCGAGCCGAAGGTACCCGAGCTCCAGAGCCTCCAGAGGCCCGAGGCGTGGCTGCTTTGCTGTGCGCGATACATTGGGATCATGGCCCAAGATCACCATTGATTGATATTGGTTGGTACTGGTAACAGCTGATTCTATCTGCCCCGCCAGAATCGCCAAGCCTCTGATGTGAGCTTTCGACTGCACATGGAGACTCCCTAGATCCAAGTACACGTTGCTTGCATTCGACGCATCGTAGGAAGTGCCCGATCCACGAACGCCTCAGGTCGCGCAAGAGGCCTATTGGTATCAAGTCAGAGTAGTGCCTCAGTGGAAGTTCGGGTGTTGGGATGCTCGATGATGACATAGGATGATGAAGTTTATGCTCTAGTAACCGTTGAGATAGGCCTTTGCGACGGTCACCTCCCCCGCAGCCTGCCTCGAAGTTGGTTGATGACGATGACCTCATGCATCGTCCCCAAAGTCTTGCTGTTGCAGGCTGACCCTCCATTGCCGGGAGTTCCTGAGGCGGGGGCTGCAGAAACTTGTTCTTAGCTTGGGAAATTAGCTAGCATCATTCAGCCAGCAACTCTTATCATCGGAGCTTATCACTTGGTGGAGTGTTCTATGATTTTGAAATGGCAGGGCCTCAGCAGCCACTGCTTCATCACGGTTCCGCTCCTGAGACTAGCATCTGACGGTCACCGGAAGGGCCTTGGGGCGACAACTGGCTCAGGGTTGCAGATTACACCTCCCAGCAGGTCCCGTTTCCCTTTCCCCAGGAAAGGGATCCCCAACGGTGCGCATACCCCCAAAACGAATGACGAACACCGAACCCTGAACCATGCGCAGGTCTCGGAGATTTCTGGGCTGCCGGAGTTGGACTTGGAGAGTTGGGGGCCTGGAGATGTTTCTTTGGTAGGGTTATTGCGTTTCGCATGGGTGTAGGAGGTGAACTATATAAGACGTATGTGTCGCCATCATGGAAATTTGGTTTACCTGAAGTTTCTGCAGAAGTATCCTTTCTCGGAAGGACATGGTCCGCCTGCTTTTCTTCTTTCGGCATGCGCAGCATGCGCCCGGTTGCTTCATTAGTAGCTGTCCAGTTGGACGCCATGCGATGGCAGTATATAAGCTTGGACAGTTGGAGCAGTATGTCAGTGGATTAGCAATCATATTTCTGATGCGGAAGGGCATGATGCGCCAAATTGTCCCAAAATTTCCTCCACTGGTCTCTGAACGGATAGACTCGCTGGGAGGCGTTTAGCTGCTAGTCTTTACCAAATTGTTTTGGCGCAGCGCTTTTGGTGGTAACTCACAACCAGAACGTGCTCACATTATGAAAATGCCTGCGTATGCTGTAATGGGCTGTGTCTGAAGCCAGTCTGAAGACCTCAGTCACGCAACGAACAGAGGAGGATTTGCCCACAAAGAATTGCATGTTCAGTAACCCTGTCGCGAAAGCTAGCTCCTTGAAAGCTTCATGGGAGTATCGATTTGCCAGTGTTTTCTTTCTGAGCTGGGTGGACATGCGCGGGTAGGCAAGCATACCGGGAGTGACAACAGAATGAGGGCCACGAAAGCTAAGGTGCACCCGGAACCCTTGTACGAATGCATCTGCCAGGAAGGTTGTACAACCGTTGTAGTTGAAAAATGCAGTCGCAGTGTTTCTGTCTGCCTTGCCAAACATAGCAGCAGTGCCAGGTGTTTGCAAACAACGCGAACTAATCTCCGGCAAATGTCAGATACACTTGCCCCTGTGAGAGCCAATCACGTTCTGTTCGCCAGGGCTCCTTTAAGGTGTCAGATCTACCCAGGCCCGTTACGGCTGGAACTTAGCTGTCACTGCGGAAGCCAAAGAAGCCAATGCATGAAAGTACTCCTCAGGTGGGGACCATCATCTCTCCATCCTGGAGCAATTGGGCCGAGGCCCACGGTTGTGCACAGTGACGACAATCGAGTAGGGATGCCAGTGACTATAGGCGGCAGCCAGCATTTTTTCTTTACCGAAAACTCAGCTTGGCACTCGATGTTGCATTTGAGAAGGTGTGAGTGGCTGCAGAGTCCATCGCTGCCAGTCGACATTGACTCCAGCAACTGGGTGAGGCATGTGGTGTTTTGATCGATCATGGGGATCAGTTGGGCCGAGCTCTTTCCCTGGGAGATTTCGTTGGTCAGGCAGATTCAGGCGGTGCACTAGCTTCTTGCTAAAACCAGGTGGGGATGCGAGGAGTATATGGGGTTGTGCAGGGGTGCTAGTACACGTCTCTTGAAAAGGACGGTGGTGCTTTGAGGGTTGTCAGAGACCCGAAGCGAGCCATTTCTGCAACTCCTTGCAAAGGGCTTCTACGGAGATTCTGATAGAGTAGATGAGGTTGGCATCATCCAGAGAGAGCATGGTTTGGGATTTTATGGATGGGTATGGATTACAAGCAGGAAGCACGCATAGGGACTCAGGCCCTTAGGTCCCAACACTACTCAAGTACGTCAGGGTGGCCTTGCAGTTGCCAGCATGTTGAAATTTGTTCATATAGCAACTTCCCTGTTTCCAGAGTTCTTTCCTACTGGCATCAGGAACCCTTAAGAGTGTAGGAATCTAGAATGTTGTGGTGACCGGGTATGCAGGACAGCTGGGGAAATCCCTTAAGGTGCGGGACAGAAATTATGCTTCAAATGAGTAGTACTTTATTTGG